AACGAGAGCGATCCCGGGGCGGCGACGGCAGGGTCGCTGGGGTCGCGGATCGCATACGGCGCGACGGCGCCGCCGCCGTTGCCGTCGTTCCCGCCGCCCGGGTCGATTGCCGCGCGCAGCGCCGCCTCGTCGAGCATCGAGGGGCGCAAATCCCGCTGCGAATCGATCTGCGGCACGACCAGTACGTTCGGGTTAGCGCGGCTCTCCTTGATGTGCTTTTGGTTGCACCTGTTGACTGCGGCGAGCCCGGCCGGCGTCCGCTCGGTCAGTGGGGTGTCCTCGGCGTACTGCGGTTGGAACCGCCTCTGATCGACCTCGCTCAGCTGGGAGAGCGCGATGAGGGGCGGGGCGCCGCTCTCCGGCTCGAGCTCGATGCTTTGCTCCGCGTCTCCGTAGTAGCGGCCCGTCCGCTCTGGCGCTGAAGGCCGCAGCTCCACCGCTCGTCGATCCACCGCCACCTGTAGCTGCGCCAACTGGGCCTGCAGCCTCGCCAGCTGCTCTCCACTGGTAGATGGAATCGCGGAGGTCAGCTCGGGGAGCATGGAGGTCAGCGGCGGAAACCGTGAAAGCACAGCATCGACCTCCACCGCCTCCGAGTCGGACCCCGAGTCGGACATAGCCCCCGAGACCTCGGCCTCAGACGCGCCTGTCAGACTGTCCCCCGCTTCCGCCTCTGAGCTGCTGGATGGAGCGTCGACCGCTGTCGGCGCCGCGTCGGTGTCAGCTGCAGCCCTCTGGACCTCGGCCAGGTCCTCAGCCGCTGCGCCAGAACCGTCGGCAGACCCTCCCGCCGACCCAGCTTCCTGGGCGCGCATCTCTGCGGGCGGGAGCAGACGGACGGTGGTGGCGGGTGGGAAGGCGAGGAAGCCGATCTCGGTGGTGGTTGGCACGGTGACGCGGGTGAGGGAGGAGCAGCGGAAGAAGGCGCACTCGCCGATGTATGTGAGGCTGGCGGGGAAGGAGATGGAGGCGAGGGCGGAGGGGAAGGTGGCGGAGACGAGGGAGGAGCAGCCGTAGAAGGCGTAGTTGTCGATGGAGGTCAGGCCGGCGGGGAAGGTGACGGAGGCGAGGGAGGAGCACTCGCGGAAGGCGTAGCTGCCGATGGAGGTGAGGCCAGTATGGAAGGTGACGGAGGCGAGGGCGGAGCAGCTGTAGAAGGCGTCGCTGCCGATGGAGGTAAGGCCGGCGGGGAAGGTGGCGGAGCCGAGGGAGGAGCAGCCGTAGAAGGCGCTGTCGCCGATGGAGGTGAGGCCAGCGGGGAGGATGACGCGGGTGAGGGAGGAGCAGCCGTAGAAGGCGAGGCTGCCGATGGAGGTGAGGCCGGCGGGGAAGGCGGCGGAGACGAGGGAGGAGCAGCCGTAGAAGGCGTAGTTGTCGATGGAGGTCAGGCCGGCGGGGAAGGTGACGGAGGCGAGGGAGGAGCACTCGCGGAAGGCGTAGCTGCCGATGGAGGTGAGGCCAGTATGGAAGGTGACGGAGGCGAGGGCGGAGCAGCTGTAGAAGGCGCCGTGGTCGATGGAGGTGAGGCCGGCGGGGAAGGTGGCGGAGGCGAGGGAGGAGCAGCCCCAGAAGGCGCTGCTGCCGATGGAGGTCAGGCCGGCGGGGAGGGCGATGGAGGCGAGGGAGGAGCAGTTGTAGAAGGCATAGATGCCGATGGAGGGGAGGCCAGCAGGAAGGGCCATTGAGGGGAGGGAGGAGCACCCGCGGAAGGCGTGGTCGCCGATGGAGGTAAGGCCGGCGGGCAGGGTGGCGGAGGTGAGGGAGGAGCACCCGAAGAAGGCGCTCTCGCCGATGGAGGTGAGGCTGCTCGGGCAGGCGACCGACACGAGAGAGTCGCGGGCCCGGAACGCATCGTCCGGCAGGTGCGTCATGCCTTCGGGCAGCACCGCGTGCCCGCCGGTGACGACGACCTGCCAGTCGCCCACGTCCAAAGTCTCTGAGCCGGACGGTGGGGCAGCTCGGGCGAGCGTCTCCATGTATGTATCGGGAACATCGCCACCGCTGCCACTGGGCGCCGCGGACGCACCGCTCGCGCAAACGCCTTTGCTGCCGCTGGGCTTCGCGGACAACAGCGCGCGGCGCATCGCCTCGCCGACGCGCCCGCCTGCTGTCAAACGGGAGGCGGCGACTTTCAAATTTCTTTTCTCCAACGCCGCCGCCGCCCGCCTCCGCCGCCCGCCGCCGCCGCCAGCCGCCGCCGCCTGCCGCAGCCGCCGCCAGCCGCCACCGCCGCCAGCCGCCTGGCCTCGCCTCTGCTGCCGCGGAGGCAACGCCCTACGGGCACCCAAGGCCCGACCGACGGGCACAACCAACGCCGAGAGGCACCCCATACCGCCGCGGAGAAGGTCTAAAAGTACGTACGAGCACTCTCCAACACAAGCCCCTCTCACAGGACACAGCAGACTGGCACGGACTAGCACCACAAAACTAGGCGCAAAGAGAATTCTCTTTTCTGGCATGGACTGGCAGTCTGGCACCGCAAATGGCACAGAATAAAAAGAGGAAAAGGAAGTGCGCAATCCCTCTCGCAACACTTGCCCTTTTGCACTAACGGTGAACCTTCTTTTTGTATAGTTAGACGGCTGCCTAGGATTGAGAGCAGCCTCGCTCTCAATCCTAAGAAGTCGAAGGATTGTGAGCAGCACTCCTCGCAATCGTAGCATCTCTGTGCGATTGTGAGCACCTACGCTCGCAATCCTACATCTTCCTAGGACTAAGAGCAGCTCCGCTCACAAGGTGCCTGGTGACGCCTACGACTACCACCAGCGCGCTCACGCGCTCATAAATCGTACCAGGCAAGGATTGCTAGCAGGCGCACAGAGGGCGCTCCCAGTCGCTCTCAATCCTAGCCGCTACAAAAAAGGTTCACCGGCACTAACACAGGTACACCAAAAGAGACATTTCGAGACCTGTTCGAGACGAAGGAGCTCGCTCGGAAGAGAGGGGCTGGCTCGAGGGCGGTTGTGGCCGAGGAAGGGGCGGAACCGGTGTAACTGTAAACCGCCGACCCCCACCACATGGAGCATAGTCGTTCCCAATCGGGCCGGTAAGCGGCCACGCCTCCGCAGATTCGTGTTTCGCGCATGACCGAGTCCCCCTTGCGTTGTCGAGAGGCGCCTTAGGTGTTGGGCTTTTTTTCGTCGCAGGCCACGTCGCGCAGCGTCGCAAACTCTTACACTTTTTCGGACATTTACTCATGCGGTTTGGTGGGGCGGCGACACACATGCATACGACCGGATTATGTCTGGCCTTTTTTCGAAATGGGGCACTATACAGCTGACCCCCCTGTCGCCCCTTACAGCCCTGCACATCCACCCAACCCCTGCACAACCAGGCGCTGACCGGACGGCTCGAGCGCTATGCGCATGAGCCATGGCGCCGGGCTACACGATGCTGTGCGAGCGTTGCGATGGCTGCTGTCCCGAGAGTGTTGAACAATGTGCAAAGGTGATGGCGGCACGGTCCGAGTTGTGTAGTGCGGGTACCCGACTCGCGAGGTGCAGCGCTCACTGATTGCGAGGCACTGTCGGCCTCCGGAAGGATGGCCGCCGCTGAAGCTGGTACCGCTCGTTGAGCGCCTGCGCTTGCGCCTCAATCATGTGCTTCCGCATCTGCTCCGCCTGGCCAGCGCGGATTGCCAACAGTGGCGCCGATAGAGCAGGGCTTCCGGCGTCGGTCAGAGCTCCGTGCTCTCTCATGGCCTGTACCCTGGCGGCAAGCCTCTCGCGCACAGCTTCCTCTGTGGATCGGGTCCGCTGCAGGTTTGCTTCCTTTGCAGTCTCGCAGCGCTGGAGCACATTCTTTAGGGTCTCGTCCACCTCCGGCCCCTTGTAGCCCGTCGGGCGCTCGACCTTGTCGGGGCGGACCAGAGGCGTGGGCTTTGGGAAGCACGGCAGGTTCGGCAACTTTGACAGACACTTGGGCTGCTCGCATTCAATCTCGAGCTGCGGCAAGCCCGGAATCGGGTGGCACTTCATGCACGCTCCAGTGGGGGGGCAAGTAAGCGTGCGCGGGCAAAATTTAAGAGTGACCGATACGACGCCAAACTTCAGTGCGCAACAAGAAGAGAATTTTACAACCAAACTCCCTCGCACAACACTGGGCACGGGACAGGCGCGCACTGGCACTAACACAGGTACACCACAAGAAGAGAATTTTGCAACAGCTCCCTCGCACGACACTGGGCGAGGTGGCATGAATGAAGGTTGCAGCGAGAAGCGGCGAGAGACTGAGAAGAGAGATAGGAAGAGGCAGACTCCCTAGGTAGGGTGGGCGACGGCTAGCGCATCACACACCTCTCCTAAAAATCCCTGTGTGGTGGCGGCGTGCCGTCCTCCCATCCCTCCCTTGGGTTGTCTGTTTTCTTTCTTTCTTTTACTGGGCACGGGACTGGCGCGCACTGGCACTAACATTGGCGGACACTGCGAAGAGAGATAGGAAGAGGCACAGACGCCCAAGGATGCATGGGCGACAGCTAGCACCACTGCCCACCCCAAACAAAGTGAGCACAGTTCCTCAGTTCCTACTGTCTTGCCTCCACCCACATACACGCGCGTTGGTGTCCACAGTCCGAGCCAAACTCTGTTCTTCACCTTTCTACCTAAACCTAACCTAAGGTGTGTGCGTGTGAGAGTGAGATCCGAGCCTGCGCTGGCTGTTCTTCACCTCAGATATACAATCTCCAGTACACTTTAGGTGTCCCCCCCCGCGCCCCCGGCCCCCGCCGCCACGCGCCACGGCACGCGCCAGCGAGGGGGAAAAGTTGCTGGACTCCAATTTGCTCTCACGCGGCACACACCTTTGGGCGTTGGGGTTAAATAAATAAAAACGGACACCTATCTCTACTGTGCGTTGGGGGGTTGGCGGAGGTTGGAATCAAATCGATTTTTTCCCGGTGTCTGTGGATGAAATATGAATTCGAACGAGAGGAGAGACGATCGCGGACCGCGACCGGCCTCATCGCAGCGCTGGACTGGCACACGCGCGCACCGACGGCGGCTCTATCTCTTCTGCCGCCCCGGTTTTTTCCGAAAGTCGTCGACGATCTTGTGGAACTGCCGCGAGCGCGGGTTGGGCGACAGATCGGGGTAGTCGACGACGCGCTCCTCGTGCACCGCCGGCGTCGAGCCGTGCGGGTCGGGTGCTGGGCAAAAGGCTGGCCGATCGCTGATGGCGTGGCCCTTGAAATCGGGTGGCTTGTTCAGGTAGACGCACGGGAAGTGCCTTCCGGGAGAGCCGTGGCAGCACGGCGCATAAAAGGGCACACAACCCTTGCGGGGGCCGACGCAGCTCTCGGGCGTCCAATCCTCGGCGCAAAAGGTGCGGTGGTACGGCACGACCGCCTTTGCGACCCGCTCAAAAGAGGCACCCGCAGTCGCGTCCTCAAAGCCACAAAACTTTCGGAAGGTGGACTTGAACTCGAGCACGCGCACATGCTCGTACGGGCGCAGCGCGTCGCGCGCCTGGCTGGCTGACATCGGCGGCGCGTCCACGCGCACCCAGCTCGACTTGATGTCGGGCGAGAGCCGCGGATCGGTCAAGAAGCCAGGCTCGCGAAAGGCGACGCCCTGTTCGAACCAGCCGACGAGCGGCAGTATGTGGTCGGCGGGGCAGTCGAAGGGGAGAGTCATTCCAAAGGCACCGCCCACCTGGAGGGGCGGGGACGCGTCGGAGTGGCGGGACGGGGCCTGGCTAGAGCGAGCGGAGGAGGCGAAGCCTTGCAGTGCTTCATCTCCTTCCAGATATTGTCGCAGTAGCAGAGCATCCGTGGCAAGACGAGCGTGCGGTTCAGGGCGGTGGCAAGCCCCAGCGCATCGCGCAACGTCTCGCGCAAGTGCGAATCCTCCTTGTTGAAGCGGCCGGCGGCCTCGGCGGTAGTGACGCTGTTTGGAAGAGTGTCGATCGGCAGCGCGGCGCCCTCGGGCGCGACGGCGAGGTACCGCCCCTCGCTAAAGTACGAGGGCGGGTCCACCCACCAGACGCGAGCCTCGCGCATCCGCTGCCGCTTGCCGTACGCAAACTTGGACGAATCCCCGTACCTGCCGGAGCGGGGGTGCTCGTGGCCGACGCGATTCGAGGGCGGCGGCGGCGGCGGCGGCGGCGGCGGCGGCGGAGGCGCCGGGCGGGTCCGGCGGCGCGGGCGGCGGCGGTGGCGCTGTCTCGGGGGAGGGGAGGCGCACTGGTAGGTCATGTGGAGCGCAAAGGGCGGCGGGTGGTCCGAGCCGTCAGCCTCCTTGCGCGCGTACATGCGCTGCACGAAGAAGGTGTGCCCGTTTGCAAAATAGCGCAGCGGCAGCCGCGCGATCTTGAGCCGGTCGTTCCACGCCTTGTAGATAGGGCGCGCCTTTGTCCTGCCCTGCGGGTCGGGCGGAGGCTCCCACTCCTTGGAGCGGAACCCCTCGCGCATCAGCAGGTTGAGCGCCGCCTGGTCGCGGATCATGACGTCTCGCGTCGTCTCGATCTTTTGCTTCCACGCCGCAGTGAAGTCGAGCACTCCCTGCCGCGCGCGCATGTACACAAGGCCCGTGTTGTGGTCGACGTGCCAGCAGCCGCCCTTCGTGTCGCCCTCGACGTCTATGCAGTCGGTGGTGGTGAGGATGTCAACGTACTGCATGGGGTACTCGTTGACGAAGGGTGCCTGCTCACGCCGACAGCTGTGACGTTGCGCCCCTCCCCCGCACGGGGCCTCTCTTGCCGAGGGTGCCGGGTGGGCCATCCAAGCCGTGTCGGCGTCGCACGCCCACACGTTGAATCCGAGGCGGAGGATGTTGGAGTAGAACTGGACCTTCATCGCGGCCATCCGCTTGTACGCCGAGTAGTCGAAGCGCAGGTTGGCGGCGCCGCGGTTCTTGATGGAGTTTGCCTCGATTGAGAGGGTGGGGATGCCGTGCTCCTCGCAGATCTTGGTCATGCCCTCGTCGAGCGCGCCAACCATCAGCTCGTGGATGCCGGCGCGCCTACGGAGAGGAATGCGCCGCGTGGCGGGCCCGCCCGCTCAGCGCAGCGACTCGCCTCGCGCGTGCCTCAGGTTTGCGACCCAGTTGAGCGCAAACGGCGACATCGAGGCGGACGAAAACGAGACAAAGATGTCGGTGCCCGGCTCGAGCTTGTCGAGCGGCGGCGGGAGCTTGGACGCGCCGCCATTGGCGGCGGCCAGCGCCTTGGCCTCGTCCGACGCTGGCCCTGGCACCGGCTTGACTGGCTGCGGCTGCGCAACGATTCCCGCCTGCGGCCGCGGTGCCGCCGCCGGCGTGGCCGGATGCTGAACCGCCGTGACTGGCAGCTGTGCGGCCGCGCTCGACCGCTGCGCGGGCGGGTCGGACGCACCGGGAGCACCACCCAGTGCCCGCTGCATCGCCGACTGCTCGCGGCGGATGCGGGTGAGCGCCTCGGTGGGCCGCTCGGAGACCGCGACCTGGCGGTGGGTCTCACCCCGTGCGTCGAAGAGCACGTTCATGGCTACGAGGAAAAAGACGCCGGCTGCGAGCACCGTGGAGAGGCGGGCTGCTGACGGCATGCCAAAAGCGCTGGTGCCGGCCGGGGAAAAAGAATAACGGTTCCACCAGCGAGACCCGTTTCATATGCGCACATAGAGTGAAGGGTG